AAAATCTCAAATATATACAAAAGCCGAGGGAATAATATAATTAAGCCATTATTGTTCCCAGCTTCCACAGTTATCAACACATGACCGATTTTGTCTATACTTAACTCTGCATTATTTAAAATCAAGCCTACACATATCATTTCAACTACAAATATTCAGTATGTATCTCTAAAAAATAAATTCTCTTAAAAAATACTGTCATATCATTAACCCCCCCCCAAAATGAACATTGACTCCTTATTTTCATCAAATGGCCTTTCCATGTTCAATTTTTTTTTCTTTTTACTATTTATTTGAAGCAGGATCCAAAGGAAGGTCACACATTTGCGATTGACATATTTCTTTTTTTTGAGACAGAATCTCGCTCTGTGGCCCAGGCTGGAGCAGTGGTGCAGTCTCAGCTCACTGCAGCCTTCATCTCCCAGGTTCAAGGGATTCTTGGCCTCAGTTTCCTGAGTAGCTGGGATTACAGGTACCTGTCACCACGCCCAGCTAATTTTTATATTTTTTGTAGAGATGGGGTTTTGCCATGTTGGCCAGGCTGGTCTCAAACTCCTGGCCTCAAGTGATCCGCCCTCCTCAGCCTCCCAAAGTCCTGGGATTACAATTGATGTATCTTTCAAGTTCCTCTTTAAAATAGGTTTTGCATCCCTCTTTTCTTTAATTGCTGTTTTGTTCTTGAGGAAGAAACCAGATTGGTCTCCGTAGAATTGGTCCTGTAGAGTTTCTCAGTCTCAATTTTGTATTCCTGTGGTGTCATTCATACTAACGTGTGTGTTTGCAGATTGTTTATGTTTCCATAATGAGATGCTTACCCTCATAAATGACTTAGTTATTATGACTTGGTTATCCACCAGATGTTATGTTAACGTCTCTTCAGTCTTTCTGGTCATCTGAAGCTCATTTTACAGTAGATGACTCAGAAGGTGCCCAGAGGTGCTTTATTCCCATATTCCACAAAAGTGTATGATTATTTATAAAATACAGTTTTATAAATACAGTTTTAGTTTGATTGTTTATAAAATCCATGACCTGCATTTTCTTTCTTTGCATACCTTACGCACTCTATGGACTTCTGGAAAAAAGCATTGCTGTCACAAAGTCTGATGACAATCTGATTTTCTTTTCCCTACTTGCAATTTGGTCTTTTTTAAAAACCTGGGTGATGAAATGATTTTTTTCCCTTTTCTTTACAGGATCAATGTTCCTAGAAACACAGGATACCCTTTGTAGTTCCAAGCTGTCTTTTATTTTAGGAGAGTTCTTTTGAGTTGTTTTTGGTATTTGTTCTGTATTACTGCTTTGGTTTTCTTTTTTAGGACCTGCCATTGTAGATGTACCTTCGCTGATCTTCTTTATCACTTTTTTTTTAAATCACTTCATCTCTTCTTTTAAAATCAGCTTTTTTTAAAATAACAGTTTTATTGAGCAAAATCCTTATACCATGAAATTCACCCTTTTAAAGTGTACAGTTCAGTGGTTCTTACTGTGTTCACAGAGGCATGCATTATCACTGGTATCTAATTTTAGAACATGTTCAAGTTTTAGAAAGAAACCTTACACCCATTGGCAATCACTCCACATTCTTCCCTACCCCCATAGCTCCTGGAAACTACTAATCAATCTACTTTCTATTTCTTTGGATCTGCCTGTTGTGGACAGTTCATGGACATTTCCTGGAATCATACAATTGTGTACTTGCTTATTTCACTTTGCATAATGTTTTCAAGGGTCATCTTGTCATATCAATACTTCTTGTATTAATGTGTTCTTCCTTTATGGCTGAATGATACGCCATTGTATAGATATACCACTTTTTGTTTATCTGTTCATCAGATAATACTTCAGTTGCTTCTACTTTTTGGCTATTATGAATAATGCTGCTGTGAATGTGCAAGTTTTTATTTCTCTCAGTTATATACCTAGGAGTGGGATTGTTGGGTCACATGGTAACTAATTAGCATTTTGAGGAACTGCCAAACAGTTTTTCAAATGGTGGCACCAATTTACTTTCTCCAGCAAGGTATAAAGGTTCTGATGTCCTTACCCACATTTGTTACTTTTTTATTCTAGCTGTCCTAATGGTACAAAGTGATCTCATCGTGGTTTTGATTTGCATTCCTCTCATGACTAATGATATTGAGCATCTTTATGTATTAATACTTATTAGCTGTTGTAAGCACTCTGGACACAAGTCACATATCAGATACATGGTTTGCAAATATTTTCTCCCATTGTGTAGGTTCTCTTAACTTTCTGGATGGTATCATTTGAAGCACAAAAGTAATTAATTTCAAAATAGCTCAATTTACCTACTTTTTCTTTTGTCACTTGCTTTTGGCTTCTTATCTGAGAAACCATTGCTGAGTTCAAGGTCACAAAGATTTACTTTTATGCTTCCTTTAAGAGTTTCATAGTTTTGGTCAGGCACAGTGGCTCATGCTTGTAATCCTAGCACTTTGGGAGGCTGAGCCAGGTGGATCAGCTGAGATCTGGAGTTAAAGGCCAGCCCGGCCAACATGGTGAAACCCCTTCTCTACTAAAAATACAAAAATTAACTGAATGGGGTGGCATGTGCCTATAATCACAGCTACTTGGGAGGCTCAGGCAGGAGAACCACTTAAACCCAGGAGGCAGAGGTTGCAGTGAGCCGAGATTGTGCCACTGCACTCCAGCCTCTGACAACAGAGCGAGATTCCATCTCAGAAAAAAAAAAAAAGGTGATAGTTTTACTTTCTATTTGGATCTTTGATACATTTGAGTTAATTTTTCTATATGATGTAAGGAAGGAGGAATCCAGCTTGCTTGCTTGCTAGCTTTTCTTTCTTCTTCTTTTTCTTTTCTTTTCTTTCTTTCTTCTTCTTTTTCTTTTCTTTTCTTTCTTTTATTTCAACATTGAGACAAGGTCTCACTGCCATCACCCAGGTTGGAGTGCCACGGCGTGATCTTGGCTCACTGCAGCCTCGAATTCCTGGGCTCGTGATCCATCCACCTTAGCCCCCCAGGTATCTGGGACTATAGGTGCATGCCACCACACCCAGCTAATTTTTATATTTTTTTATAGAGATAGGATTTTGCCATGTTGCCAAGTTGGTCTCAAACTCCTGAGCTCATGAGATCCACCCACCTCGGCTTCCCAAAGTGCTGGGATTACAGGCATGAACCACAGTGCCTGGCCCAGCTTTATTCTTTTGCATATGTATATCTAGCTTTCCCAGCACCATTATTTGAAAAGACTATTCCTTTCCCATCTGATTTCTTGGCACCACAATAACTTTTATGGAATCTGACTGAGATTTTTTTCTTTGCTATTGTCTACTAGTGAAATGAATTTTTCTGTAGTTTTAGGAGAGGGAATGGGCAAAGATAGCTTTCCTAGTTCATTTTCTAGGTTAAAGCTCTCTCCTCTGGCTTTTGCAATGTGAAAATACATGTATCTTTTACTTTCTGAAATGTGCCTTTTCTGCTTCTCTCCACCACTTTTATCTGAACTTTCCTTTGTCCCGCATTCTACAACTTGGATCCTACTCCCAGCAGTTTCTCTTCTGTGAGACTTTTGTCTTGGAAAGGAACTTTGATTTGTTAACTTTGAGAGTTCATGGCACCCACACTGTACCATGAGACCTTACTTATGCATTTACAGTTGACCCTTGAATAATGCAGGGGTCAACTTGAATAATGCCAGCCCCCATCCTAGCAGTTCAAAATCCACATATAACGTTTGGCTTCCAAAAAAACTTAATTACTAATAGCCTACTGCTGACCGGAAACCTTACCAACAGCATAAACTATTGGTTAATACATATTTTATGTTATATGTATTAATATACTGAAACCTTAAGGCAAGCTAAAGAAATGAAGATGTTAAGAAAATCATAAGAAGAGAAAATATATTTACTATGCGTTAAGTGGATGTGGATCATCATAAAGGTCTTCATCCTTGTCATCTTCACAGTTGAGTAGGCTGAGGAGGAAAAGAGAAAGGAAGGTTTGGTTGTGCTGTCCCAGAGACAGAAGAAAATATGAGTGTAAGTGGATCTGTGCCGTTCAAACCTGTCTTGTTCAAGGATCAGTTGCCAAACTGCCTCCTAGTTTTTGCTGCTGTTCTCAGATTGGCCCACCACACTGTCCAATGAGCATCTGCTATGACTGTGAGGTTCTGCTATTCACCTGTCAGAAGTTCTTGTGCCTTCCTTTTTCTTCCCACACGGACACTAATACCAAGCAAATCTTGTAGTTGTCAGAAGTTTGTTTCTACCTGCTTTTATTTGGAAGTTTGTCTACTGATTCTGCTATAGACACTGAATCTTTGCTCTTCCTTTCATTGCTTTATCAAATTTTATGTGGAGATCTAGAGGACATTCAAAAAGTACACTACTATTTCCTTATCTTCCCAGAATCTTCTCTTCTCATTGACAAATGTGTTTGAAGCATGTTCTATTTCTTTTTTTTTTTTTTTTTTTTTGAGACGGAGTTTCGCTCTTGTTACCCAGGCTGGAGTGCAATGGCGCGATCTCGGCTCACCGCAACCTCCGCCTCCCGGGTTCAAGCAATTCTCCTGCCTCAGCCTCCTGAGTAGCTGGGATTACAGGCACACGCCACCAGGCCCAGCTAATTTTTTGTAGATTTTTAGTAGAGGTGGGGTTTCACCATGTTGACCAAGATGGTTTCGATCTGTTGACCTCGTGATCCACCCGCCTCGGCCTCCCAAAGTGCTGGGATTACAGGCGTGAGCCACTGCACCTGGCCCTCTATTTCCTTTTTTAAACAATATGGCATTTACAAGTTAAAAAGAAAATGCAATCAATAGTTGATTCTTAGCTTATAATACCAGGTAATTCTGTAGTGAAACAAATTATAGGAACTTTTTCTAGGCTGAGTTAAATATTATAAAATGTTATCATACCTGTTGAATGTCATTTTTTTTTTCCAGTAATAAGTAGTTTAATGACTTGCATGTCATATTTGGACTATGCTAAGAATCACCTTTTCTCTTTCAGAATAACAAGCCTTTGTATTCCTTTGAAGATAATTCAGACTATGTTTATGATGTTATGTGGTCACCTACCCACCCAGCCTTGTTTGCCTGTGTGGATGGCATGGGAAGATTGGATTTGTGGAATCTCAATAATGACACAGAGGTGAGCAGGAAAATAACAGAAATTGCATTGAAAAATAGAAAATTGGATATTTATTGAATAATTTGTGAAATTCCTTTTATTCCAAAGAATGTAAAAGGGCTCTTTGATTGTAGCTTCATCACAAAGAAATCAAATAAGCTTTATACCCTAAATAATAAACAGCATGCTGTGAAGAACTCAAGGGAGAAATAATGTTGCCAGGAGCACTGGGGCATTTTCTTTTACTTCTAAAAAGCACTATCATGTCTCTAATGTCCCGGGAAAATCTCATTCATAAGGTAACTGGGATATTTTTCATTCATAGGCTAGAAAGCAGATAGTTTCAGACTGTTGAAGTATGTTAACCTTAATTCTGAATTTCTAAATTATCTCTTAGCCTTGATAGGATTGTATATCATCCATAAACATTAGTCTTAGCTTGATTTGTTTGAAGGAAGGAAAAATGTATTTTGATGAGATTTTTTTCCATGAAGGATTGAAAACAGTATTACTATAAAATGAATATAGAAACTATCAAATTTCCTAATTGCTGTATTAAAATCACTTATTAGCAGTTACATTTAACTGCAACTCTTATTTAATTTTAGCCACATATATTTTTACCACCTTAGAGAAGCTTAAAATGTTCTTAGAATTCTGTTCTATGTTGCTGTTGGTAATAGAAGTAATATTAACAGTTCTGTCAATGACAGTTATTGAGAGAAAGTCAACTCAGATCTCCCACGTCTACCTAGAATGGTACCAGTTTTGTTTTCTTAATTTGGATTTTGGTCTTAGAAATTTGAGGTTACAATTAAATGTGGATTGAAATCTAATATTTCTTTTTAACAATTTTGGTATTCTGTGTATGGGGTTAAATTCTTTGGGGATGACTAATACAAATTAGAGGGTTTTTTTGGTCAGATTTCAAAATTAAAAAAAAATTTTACTATACTTTTAGTCTGAATCAAACATGAATGTTTACTTCATTTGTAACAAATAAAACTTCTTCCTCAGCAAAGGAGAGGCACAATCAGATTCCAGGGAGCTGGTGGTTGTCAGCATCCTGCCTCCCTCCAGCTAGCTCATGAAACAGGAGGCTTACAGACTCATACTGTCTAAACAGTTCATACTGAAGGTATTAGGAACAGTGAGTCAAATATAGGTTTCAGCTGATAGAGATACATGCTGCATGATTGATTCCTGTCCTCTACAGTTAAACCATAATCTGCTCATGAGGGCTTTTGAAGTGTTTTCTTTTTAGATGGGTTTTGGCCATATGTTTTCAGACAGCTTGACTTCTTAAAGAAATTAAAACAACAAAAAAGGACTCTATTCTAGAGAAGATCTTTCAGAATAATGTGTCTAGTCTCCTGAGAATTTTTTATACAAGGACTTAAGTTATTTTCCCAAACCATTTTCAAGGATTGACTATAAATGTCATTCATAATATATCACTGAAGAAGAAGAAAGTTGGGGAAATTCTTTATCTATTTTCATTTTTAAAAATGTAGCCAGATTGAGAGAAGAATTACTGTTTACATGTTTATAGAAAACTTGATGAAACTTTTAACACTGTCCTATATTTTAAATGACTTTAGGTACCAACTGCCAGCATTTCTGTGGAGGGTAATCCTGCTCTTAATCGTGTGAGATGGACCCATTCTGGCAGAGAGATTGCTGTTGGTGATTCTGAAGGACAGATTGTTATATATGATGTGGGAGAGGTATGGGACTCCCTGCCTATAATTTTGACACATCTATTTAGTTGCATTGTAGAAAAGGTATTTTTGCAGCTAACCCCAGGCTTTGAGGTTTATAAGTTTTATAAACTATATGGTTGTAAAGATAAAACTTACTTTCTACCACAAAAGCAAGTCTTGAAACTAATTTTCTTTCTAAACCAAATGGTCTGTGTCCCCATGCAACAGATTGTGAGGGTAATACAGTAAATACATTGAAAGTACCTTGTTTCTTGAAGCATGCATTGTTGGAAATTAGGAACTCCTTCAGGGAGAAGTTTGGAGTTATAGGTGGACTTTGGGGTTTTATTAATATTGAAATAAGATTTATTTTTCTGTATTCATTAATTTGTTTGGGCTAGATAGTAGAAACCAAAAGTAATTCTTTGGCAAATCATCTATGATGTTATGAAATGTGCATCTTAACTCTTAAGCTTTCATGCAAAGCCACAGTAATGGAATCCAATAGGATGAGCTACAGCTCTCTCGTCTTTGATGCTCTGATTGGCTGAACACAAAGCCCAGGATGGATTTCCTCTTTTCTAACCCTGGCTAGCACCTCAGTCACTTTCCTTTGCTATGCCTCATAATTTTCTCCTCTTGATATCCCATGGCCTCTAGCAATTGGATCTGGTGGGAGGTAGATTGAATCATTTAGAGCAGCAAATTAAACTGCACAAATGGAAATGTTCTATACCTGCACTGTCTAATATGGTCGCTTCTAGCCACATATGGCTATTGAACACTTAAAATGTTGCTACTACAACTGAAGAACTGAATTTTTTATTTTAATTAATTTTAATGTAAATAGTCACATATGGCCAGTAGCTACCCTGCTGGATAGTGTAGATTTAGAAACAGGTAAAGCTGTTTGCCATAGTGAGTGGTTTGTAACGTAACATGACAGTGTCAGACTCCTATGATATTATAATGGCAGTTATCAAAAATATTTGTTATTGGGGCCAGGCGTAGTAGCTTATGCCTATAATCCTAGCACTTGAGGAGGCCAACGTGGGAGGATCACCTGAGCTTCCTGGCCAACATGATGAAACTTTGTCTCTACCAAAAATAGAAAAATTATCCGGGTGTGGTGGCGCATGCTTGTAAGCCCAGCTACTTGGGAGGCTGAGGCAGGAGAATCACTTGAATCTGGGAGGCAGAGGTTGCAGTGGGCTGAGATCATGCCACTGCACTTCAGCCTGGGCAACAGAGTGAGACTCTGTCTCAAAAAAAAAAAAATTATTGTTGGGCTGCCTTTGTGAAGTAAAGCATCACAAGCCTCGTTTGCCCTTTTGCTGCTGGTGCAACACTAAAGTGGTAAATAGCAGCATAGCTTTTGATGAAGGAATTAAAGCATCAAGAAAGATTATCTTATGCTCCAAACAAAAATACTTATACAAGAAACCAGCCCCTTATGAACCATGCTTCAAACGCTGTTTCAGACTAGGAATTGTGCAAAAATACAATAAAGAATTTTTTCAAGGAATTTCTCTCCACCCGCAGAACCCATGAGATGGCGCATAGGAGTTATATTTACAAAGCATCATTGTTATTCTCTCTTGCATTGGTGGTGATAATGGCAAAGTCATTTCTGAGGCTGTCACAACACACTTCACAAACACCATCTTTTGTTTTTGAAATGTTGTAAATCATTGTTATAGTCCCTGTAATTATGGAAAGGCCATTGAGGTCAATTATTACTTTTACTGGAAAAGTTATTTGAAAACAAACTGAATAATAGCGGGTAAGATGATCTTTTATTTCACTGTATATAAAACATTGTCTTTCTTTTAACAGCAGATCGCTGTTCCCCGAAATGATGAATGGGCACGATTTGGCCGAACACTTGCAGAAATTAATGCAAACCGAGCTGATGCAGAGGAGGAAGCAGCTACCCGAATACCTGCTTAGTTCCTCAAAAGGGGAGTGTAAATAGTGAATTTGGGACAGGTTCTTAAGTAGATCCCAAGACTATTTGCATGCTTCTGTCTAAATGATAATTAAAAGGAAATTTCATGGACTAAACTGTGGGCTTAATGCAGCAAGGAAACTTACAATGTCCCTTTATGTATAACATACATCTTGTTTTGGATTTGTGTCTTTTTTTAATACAGCTGATTGACTTCACAGAAAGCAGCTTTTTTGAATTCTAATACACAGATGTATATTAGTTATTTTGAATTCTTTTCAGATTATAACACTGTATGCAGTTATTTCTAAAGCACAGATGAAATAAGTTCTGCATATTTTTAAATAATCACAATTCCCTGTTATACAGATAATGTTCTCATTACCCATAATCTGTAGGAACTTTGTTTATCCTTAGCCATGGTATGCATACACCTATCCACGTTCCATTCTAACATCCTTTGTTGTCTTTATAGTTCATGTGTTAGTTACCTATAAATAAAAACGAACATGCGTTAACTTTTCAAATTTTCATTTTTACTCCTTACAACTTGAATTTTTCCATCTTTTATAAAATATATTTTTCCATATCTTTAAGCTCCTGTTGTGAGCAGCTGTCTCAAATCCTATAGAGCTGTGTGCCGTAAATATACCATGTAGTACATACTGTATATCTCCTAGTGCATTATGAATTGATGTCTAGATAATCTGTTGGTGAAAAAATTTCTCCTAGGTTAACTTCTGCTTTACTGTCTTATTTTTTTTCCATCTAAGATTTGTTTTCTTTAAAGGAAAATAGAAAGCTGCCTATAATTTTCACTGATTAAGAACTATGTATGTGACCTCACTGAAAGTAAAGCCTTTGCAAGAAATTGATTTCATGATTTCAGTAACCATAAAGGCAGAGTGCTCAAATTGACCCATACTTTGGTATTAAAATCTTGAGATCTGTTGCCACAGCATTGTCTACAAGTCCAAAAGGTAGGTGACAAATATCTAAGAATTAGTATTGAAATCAGCTATTTTCATGAATAGAAGAAGGGACTATGATCATATCTTGATGTTATCGACTTTAAATTATCTATTTACTCGATCCCAAACCTTTTGTACTTCTGAAGTTTATCTTTTATTCAACAGAACATGAACTAGGAAGGAAGATTAGAAATCAGAATTTGAACACTTTCCTTTTAATAATTGTAACAAAGACTTGTTGGGAGAGAGATTTCCAAGTAATGGATAGTGTAAGGAATAATAGACCAGGAATACCAGGAAAATTTACCCAGGCCTCCTTCTTGCTGAAGCACCTATGAGAAGTGCAATTTTAGACAAGTCTGTCTCATTCTTTAAATGTAGGAATTAAGTTTTGATTTAATGATTTCCGAATTTTCTTTCAGCTCTAAAATTATTCATTGTAATTACATCAGGCAATTCTTTTCTATATTCAGTTTCATAAATTGGTACCCCATAATTGTCCATTATATACCAAAGACAACATCTCAGGTTATCTCATTGTAGCAATGTAAGTGAAAACTTCAATTTTAGCAGAGTCACACTGTCTTTCTATAGAAAAATTCGTGTACTCACTACTCATGTAGTTATTGTATCTTTACCCTCAGTTTGTAAGAATGACTAGAAAAAGGGAAAACATAAATATTAAAACAATGGATAAAAAAAAGGTTGGAAATCATATGGCAGTCAGATGGTTCTCAGATTCAAGGTGTTGTGGTTAGCTGTGAAAGAATAAAATTGTTTAAATGTTTACCTTTTTGGGAATGACCTCTTCCCTTCTCCCCCAGAAAATGTTTACCTTGCCCATTCTATTTTAATCTGTATTTTTAGAAACACATAAATTTACTGTGTGGAATTGCCTTTAATTCCTTAAAGTTGACTATATAATAGCAAAGAGAAAGTACCGAGACTGTCAGTATTAAGAATCTTCTAGCAAGATTAGGTTGAATAGAAGTACATCACAGCTCTTTATACTTTTAGTAAAAACCTTACAATTTTGAAAAACATCCAGTTACAGAAATTGTACCTTATCAGTTACACTTTTTTTCTGAGTAAGAAAGCAAGCTATAGCTTTCTGGTTATTTTTTTGTTGTTTAGTTTTTGTCTTTTTGAACTGAACGTTAAAGTTTGTTACCTTCATGTTAAGGAATATCCAGCTTTGCAGACAACATTAACTTACAATAAATCTTGAAATAATCATTTTTGTAAACCAGATATTTATTGGTAGAAGCTTTCTTCCTATTTATGGATCCAGTTCCCTATAAAGTTTAGAAAATCTCTTTATATAAAATGTTGTTACAATAATGCTGAAATACTGCATCTCGAAGGAATGGATGACTTAAAATTTAGGGGGAGAAACTATAGGAAAATTGTTTTAGGTATGAATGATTGGTTCTAGTCTTTCCGTGTTGTTAGAATGTTTTACTCTGTTCTGTACTAGTGTGGATAGACTGTAACGTCCACTACTGAAACCATACAGAAAGGAAGGACTTGAATGGGTGAATGAAAATCTGCTGTGAAGCATATCATACTGTCTTTCCTTTATATTTGGGCAGTGCATTATTTTTAAGTCAGAAAGCCAGTAGAGTTTTTTTGTTTGTTTGTTTGTTTTTTTAACCTAAAGCTCTGCCGTAAATTTCAGTGGTCACCTGCCACACTCACTGGGCAGTACATTTTTTTTTTTTTTTTTGAGACGGAGTTTCGCTCTTGTTACCCAGGCTGGAGTGCAATGGCGCGATCTCGGCTCACCGCAACCTCTGCCTCCTGGGTTCAGGCAATTCTCCTGCCTCAGCCTCCTGAGTAGCTGGGATTACAGGCACGCGCCACCATGCCCAGCTAATTTTTTGTATTTTTAATAGAGACGGGGTTTCACCATGTTGACCAGGATGGTCTCGATCTCTTGACCTTGTGATCCACCCGCCTCGGCCTCCCAAAGTGCTGGGATTGCAGGCGTGAGCCACCGCGCCCGGCTGACATTCTAATAGTTTTCTAAATGAGAAAGCTGTATAATTAAATGTATGCTAAAGAGAATGGAGCTCCAAGTGCAGCTCCAGCTGCTGATTATCATCTAGGGTGCTGGTGTCCTGTCTCAGTGTTTAGGTTAAGCCAAGGTTAAAAAGTCAACAGTTTTGCTTTTTCTTGATGACTTAGTGATGCAGTTCCTATTGAGTTTTGTTTTTAATCCAAACTAGGCAGCAGCAAGAAAGGAGTTCTTGCTTTCCCGCTACCATCTTGCTGATTGCTAGACCAGCAGTCTCCAGCCTTTTTGGCACCAGACATCAGTTTCATGGAAGACAATTTTTTCACAGACCAGGGACGTTGGGGAGATGGTTTCAGGATGAAACTGTTCCACCCCAGATTATCATCAGGCATTATTAGATTCTCATAAGGAAGGAGCTCACACAACGTAGATCCCTCACATGTGCAGTTCACAGTAGGGTTTGCGCTCCTATGACAATCTAATGCTGCCACTGCTGATCCGACAGAATGGGGAGCTTAGGCGGTAATGCTCACTCACCCACCTGCCTGCTGCTCACCTCCTGCTATGTGACCTGGTTCCTGATAGGCCATGGAGCACTGCTGGTTCTGGTTTGCAGCTCAGGGGTTGGGGACACCTATGCTAGGCAACTTAGGGATGTTACAGGTTTGAGGGAAACACTCCCAACTAGGACCTTATCATTTACTAATTAAAAATTATTAATGCTGGACCAGGTGTGTGGTAGCTCACACCTGTAATCTCAGGACTTTGGGAGGCCAAGGCGGGTGAATCATGAGGTCAGGAGTTTAAGAGCAGCCTGGCCAACATGGTGAAACCCCATCTCTACTAAAAATACAAAAATTAGTTGGGTGTCGTGGCAGATGCCTGTAGTCCCAGCTACTCTAGAGGCTGAGGCGGGAGAATTGCCTGAAACTGGAAGGCGGAGGTTGCAGTGAGCCGAGATTGCACCACTGCAATCCAGCCTGGACGACAGAGCAAGACTCCATCTCAAAAAAAATTATTAATGCTGTGAATTTATTTACTTTGAGATCTGGCTTACAGATCTAGGGACTCCTAATGCTATCAAAGAATTATAAATTGTCTCAAAGGCAATATTAAGAGAACAGCCATTTTCAGTGTTTCCTTTAAAGGGGAAGATTACAATTAGGAACATTCTTTTAACCAATTTTTTTTTTTCAAAAGTTTTGCAGCCCCCGAATGGTAGTAATTTGCTTGGACTGTATTACATTTTGTAAATCCTTTTCATATATAGGAAACATGTTATAGAGTTCATCTTGGAGAAAGGTCCTACAGTCCTAACCAGAATACCAACTATAAGGCTTTGAATACATCACACTGGAATGCTCTTCACAATAGGCCAGTTCTCTCATTCCTTTTGTTGGACTTTAGGTGTTTAGATTCTCTTTTTGCCTGCCATGTTCACAATTCCCAAACTTCTAAAAGTTCAAATGGATGGCAGGTATTTAAGTTTTCAGTATGTAGCTTTTAGCTACTGATAGTTTCCACATAGCCAATCAGCAATCTTTTACAAACTTTTATAAAATTATGGTATTTTCTGTTGTTAGTTTCACAGTAGGAATCCCAGTTTTTGGCTTCTTAATATTCCATTACCAGTTCCCAGCCAGAGGATGGAACAGCTTGCACTCAGGTAAGCTTTCTGAAAGGTCTGTTTCACTTTGTAAGGTCACTTATTCAGGTCTCCGGTAATGTATTATCTTGCCTCTCTTATAATGTACTTGATTTGGTCAGAAAGCTGTGGGGCGGTGATTGTATGGATGTAGAACACACCTGCGTTGTGCCGAACATGCAGAGGCCTGACACTGTGACTCCCGAAATCAGGTACACCAGTGGTAAGACTTTGATAGCAAGTAATTTTATCTTTTGTGAATTTTTGTACTAGATTTTTTCTGAACAAGGTAATGGAAATGCATTGAAACAAAATTACTTATATTTAGGAGTGGCTTGGTATATGAGAGAAAGAACACTGGACACAGAAGACCTGAGTTCTACTCCTGATTTCCCCCATTTCCAGTAGTTGTAACCTAGGACAAGGATAAGTATTAGCACCTTTTAAATGAGGAAAATATTTGCTGTCTGTGACAATTATGTGAGAAAATATATATGTAAAGACCTTTGTAAATTATGAAGTACTATACAAATAAGGGATTTCATTTTTTATTTTCTTTTAAAGACTACAAGAATGGAGAGACACCATGTATGTACGCCTCTGTGCAGTGTAACGAACTCAGGATAAAGTGGCTTGGTGTTCAAGAAATTATTGTTTTCTAATTCCAGGAAATCACATAATTTAAATTCTCAGCAGAATCCTCAAATGTTCAGGAGTAGCAGTGAACTGAGAAAAATACCACTTGCTTTTAATCAGTTATACGTTTTCTAGGAATGTTTTATTATGTTCTATGATAAAGTTATAGATTATGCTAAGTAGAAAAAAATGACCCACTCTGAATTCCCAGCTTATACTGAGCTGTTGCTCAGTTGTTAATTATATACA